CTAGTAGGTTTGCTGATTATGGTACGTCTGTGGTTAAAAGAAAGATAAGAGAGGCTATTGAAATTAATCGTTTAGGAAATATGTTGAATGTGAGGGACGGTGGTTAAAAGCTGAGTATGAACTATTCATGCTTGATTGAGGGATTGAAAGAAAGAGAGGGTATTGAGCCGCCATCAGCAGGAAGTCGACTCAATTTGTCTGTGCAAAGATGGTTCTAACTTCACGCACACTCGGCCAACATGTTAGATTGAGTTCATCAACCAAACCAGACGTGCCAGATTACGCAGCTACAGTCATGCCTTTGCAAGGGGGTTGAACGTTAATGACCCTTGACTGAGAGGTTAGGACAAGTGGTTTCGTAACTTAACTTGAATGCTTACAAGCTTACATATAATTATCTCAACCATACTCGCTTACAGACTTACGCAGTCTCGGTCAGGACTTTCTTTGAGGTCATTAGGCGTTGAGGGTCAAAACCTATGATCAAACCTTTGAGAACTATGATTTAGGAACTGTATTGCATATAGACGCTAACACGCACGCATACACATACGCATATACTCGATCAAAATTAACAGTACCAGAATGAAAGATAATTAACAAAGTAATTCTATATTGATCTATCTAGGTTTTTAATTTTTAATTTTTTGGCTCGATTGAGTCTATATAAGAATTAAGCTAGAGCCGTATAGTGTTCTTGGCCTACTATTAATGTGTTTTACAAGAATGACACCCAGCTTTGATGATGTCCATCATATGATGGACGAAAGCTCAGCACGTTTTCACTCGAGACGAGAGAGAAATTTCCGTGGACTGCGTCAACATGAATCTCGTATAAAAGCCAAACGGCTGCAGTACAACGAGTTTCATCCGTCCTCATCTCTTCTTCATGCACTTTCATACGAAATGAAAGTCCCCTTAATAATTGAGAGTTAATGTCGTGTTTCCATTCGACAAACCTACAGATTTCAACCATAATTACTCAGCTAGGCCCCAGCTAATCTATCAGGTATAGATGTTACTGCAACAAACAGTTGACTAAAGCCCTAAATCTGGATACGATTTGGACCAATTATTTTTTCAGCTCAACAAATTAGATCAGCCTCAAAACAAATATGCAAATTACAGGTCACTTACCATGAGGCCTTTTGTCATAGGTATATGTTTCGCATAGCAAAAGTTTGGCATCTCCGCGTCTGAATGGATCGCGAAACAATGCTGCTGGATAGAGATATACGTCTGAGTTAGATCCTTCCGACTGGCCGGTACTGCTTCCATCGAAGTTCCAAATAGGGCATTCTAGGGAAAATTATAAGACGCAATTAGTGGGAAACTCTGAGTCTGAAATTGGTATATTAGGATGCTAATGACTGCGTAACTCTTACCTTCCGGCTTTTGGGGTATAAAATTCATTGTTCTCGTCTTGCAGCGCAAATGTTCTCCTGTTCCGTCAATCCAGACATACATCAATTGACATGTGTTTTCAGGAAGGGCCAGGTCATAATAGTTCTTTAGAAGTGATTTTCGGTCAGCGGGCGTCAATTTGGTCAATGCCATGATAAGGAAAGAACGTGGCAAGATAGTAGAAAGTAAATGAACCGAGTAGAAAGGAAAATAAGAAAATAAAAGCGCAACTGACGACAACACCACTCTTTTATACACAATGAGCTTCAGAGACAAATCCTAAGAGCCAATCACAATCAAGCGAAGGGTTGGCCAATCAGAGGGTAACAATTTCGTCCAATAACACCAGTGCTTTCTCATCAAGGTTTGACATGTCGATGAGTGAGGCGCTTTATAATGAATGTTTTGCTGAGTTCCCTTGCATTTCGAGTGAAAGTTTGCCATGAAGAGATTCGAGGCTCAACCTCAATTGGAGGTTGACAGCGGATTGTTCTTGGT